CAGGCTGCATTACACAGTAGACTTACTCACATCTATTAATCTCACATCCTTCATACTCAGGTTTTTCACTATATTAGGTATTAACTAGCTTGATCATCAAAATCTGTACTATTTCACAAAACTCAGGATTTCTACCATGCAGGTCCCCTGCCTATAGATTCTATCAAAATTTATTTGTATAACATAACTCAAGCATTGCATCACTCCTAATGTCTAATTGACATTAGTACAACATGATTTATAGAGTTGTAACCTCCAGAAATAAGCAGGGTTTACCATAAGTTGGATACAAAGGTCTGAGTAATTATTCAAATTTGTCGACAGTAGGATTTAAACTCCAGACCTTTTGCATGGCAGTCTGGCAACCTAACTACTACACTAAGATCACCAGACCTTTATAATTTTTATTTTAACAGCTTTTATTTTAACTTTTTTTCTAGTTATTTATTATTTTCTAGATATAAACCCTTTTAGTTTTGTAAAAACTGATAATAGCATTTTAATAGTTATTGTATCTCCTTTATTAGATACTTTTCTTAATATCTGATACTATATTTTTTACTTTTGTCTTACTATGCAACTTATATTATTATATCTACTATATATATATCCTTTATATTTTTTAGCTAATATAATTTTTTTATTATTATTTGTTTTAATTTACTAATATTTAACTATAATATGTTTGTTCTTTTTTTTTATAATTTTACTAATTTTAAAGCTTTTTTTTATTTTAAAAAGAATCTATTTTTTTTTTCTATTAGCAGATATCTTAAGCTTATTATATCTTATTGTATTTAGTTTAGTTCTATTAGACAATACTTCTTTTTTAGAGTTTTTACTATAATATAGTCTAGAACTTTTTTTTCTAAATATTTAAACTACTATAGTTTATAATCTCTTCTTTTATAGTTTCTAATATATTTTACTTGTTACTATATTAGAAAACTATTACTTCTTTTTATTACTAGCTATTTAAATATAAAAATATTTATATTATTGCTTTCTTTATATTTATTAGTTTCTTTTTTCTAGCAAACTTGAAATACTTGTACTTAATATTTCTAAGTTTTTTTTTATAATAGTTGCTTTCTTAGAAGCTAAAACTTAGTTTATTTTCTTTATATATTATTATTTTTTTTTTTTAAAAAATTCAGCAGCTATGCTTCAACTTTATTTAGATAGTTTGCAAAGCAAACTTTTTATATTCAAATTTATATTCTCATATATCTAACTACTTAGTTGAAACTTACCTAGTTACTCAAATGGTACCTATATGCAGTGTGCTATAGTTAGTCTTTTAAATCCATGCTATCAGATTTAGTTACCCAAACCCTCCTGTACTTCAGATAGTCCTAACAACCCAAAAAAAAAAAAATTATTACATATAATGAAACATAGCTAATTACATGAACTAAACTTATAAGAGAAAAATCTGCTACTAGATTAAAAAACCCTTATAAGTAAAAAAAGTAAAGTAAAGAAAAAAGAAAACAAACACTCTAATTAATATAAAGAAAAAAGGAGTGTGACAAAATATAAAAATATTATGCTATGTAAAAACAAGAATGCATATCTCTAGCAATAAACTTCTCTGGAAGTTAAATCCTAATTGGATCATCCATGTGATAGTGATGTATGTGTTTGTTGTCTTGTCTAAGTTGCATATTAACAGATAACTTGTCAAATTAAGAAGTGGTATGAACTTGCAGATCCTTTGTCAGGGTTTACCAAATTCCCTACTTTTTTATTTTTCAGTGTAGAGAAATCTAAAGGTCCAGAGGGAAATGGTAGTAGTGCTAAAAAAATTAAAGAGAATGTATATTTTTCAAAATCTACTATCCACTTGTATTCACCTAGAGTATAACCAGTACTTATCTTCTGTGGGTGAGTGATAAACTCTAAGCTTGTCAGCAAGTAGCATATAAGAACTACTTCTAAATGACAAGTGCTGCTATAATATTGTAGTGAGTGATAAACTCTAAGCCTGTTAGCAGATAGCATATGAGAACTATCTCTAAATAATAGGTACTATCTTATGCTTTTCTGCATTGTTGCTCTTATGTTTTTATAAAGTTTATTGTATATTTTTTAAAAAAATAAGTTGGGAATTTTTGGTATGAGGGATCATCAGAAAGAGTTAGAAATTTTTGAGTGTTTTTTGCTCAGAATTAACAAACTATAAGTCTTTTTATGCAATAGTTTTTTGCAAAAGGTAGAGACATTCTTATCATCAGCTCACTTTTGCTTAGAAGTAGCAAACTATTTTTAATAAATCTTTAATAATCTTTAAAGCTTTTAAAATAATATAAAGCTAGCTAGTTTTCAGTTATTTTTATACAAAAGTAACAAACTGTTTTTATTTAAATAAAGTAAAATAGAATATTCAAAGTAATGTTCATAATGTTCTAAGTTTATAATTACAATAAAGTTAGGTATAAGTATTATCCAAGATAATAATCTACAAGAATATATACATATGTAAATTATATATCTAAAGTAAAGTTGTTTAAACTCTATAAGATATTTAGGAGTTTAGTTGTATCTAAGTTTTTTAAAATTTACTTTCTTTAGTTACTATAAGTATATAGTAACCTAAAAGTAATGAGTTTTTAGAGGTTATCTATTATATAAGAGATAGAAAAAATTTTTAAAAATTTTTGTCTATATAGCACAGTAAAGAAAAAGATACTTTGTAGATCAATTTTATAAAAGCTATTCTAAAAAGGTATTCATACTATGTAACTTTAACTTGGTATCTTAAGTAAAGTTGTAGACCAAGTCTTTATAGTTTTAACAAATATTGAAACATTAAAATATGTTTATAGGAAGCCAAGATATAATGATTTTTGTAAATTTCCGAAACTATATATGTTTTCTCTTCTTAGGTCTTCTCTAAAAAAATTATTTTTTGAAAATACTAAAAGAATCTTTAAAGCTAATTTGCGAGCTAGTGAAGCATTTTTGTACTAAGATATACCTTAATTAAAATTGTAGAATAAGTTCTTGCAAGTAGAAAAGTTATGTTTTATTCTTCTATATTCAATATTCGTGGAGATATTAGTAAAATATAATAAGCAATTATAAATTATTCTAAAGAAACTTTTCTTTAGATTTTTTTTTAGTCATAAGATATACTATAATTCTAATAGTTTATCCATAGTTTTATTATCATCTGCTGATATTGAATAGTATACCATATAGAGGCCTTTCATTTTCTTTCTACTAGAAAGCACTAAAATGTTACAAGTAGCATAATCTTCTCAATACACTACAAGTAATATAAGATACTGTTACAAGTAGTATAGCCTTTTTAGTATATCACAAGTAATATAAGATACAGAAGAGAGACTTTTAACAGTGTCAAAAGGATATTACTTCACAAAGATGATTTGTTAAAAAAATTATATTAAAGCAAAGAGTATTCTTTATTTACAATACAATATCAATAATACAAGACTATCTATTAGTGTCTGTGTTAAGAGAATTCTAATATTAAGGAGATTGTAGAAGACAAACCTAACTTTAACAGAAGAGAGCAAAGGCAAAGTTTTTATATCTTTTTTTTAAACATTCTCAAACATAGTTAAATATCTTCAAACATAGTTAAACATCTTCAAATATTATCAAATATCATCAAATATCTTCAAATATAGTTAAATATCATCAAACGTCTTCAAGCATAGTTAAGTATAGTTAAATATCAATAGGGATTTCTAAATACTAATAACTCTATAACTACAGTATTAATCTAATTTTTACAAATTATAGCTCATTATAATTATGAGACTAATCTGATTCTAATAACACTATTTAAAGATTCTACTAACTTATCACTTAGATTGTAGACCAATACAAGCAAATTTGTCTGCATTTTTGTATTCATTCAGCTCTGATTTACCTTTTTAAAATACAAAAAAATTAAAGATTATCTTTTTGCAATATTTGTTTTTATATTATAAGAAAAAAATTTAGGGTTATATATAAGCTAAAAATAGCTAATTTTATAAAAAAAATTTTGCAAAAATTTTATTAGTATTTCAAGGTGAACTTGTTTAATTAAGTTTTAGAAATATAATTTATTAAGCAATTTGATAAAACTTTTAAAGAATTACAACTTTAATTATTACAACTTTTGTGATTTACTTGTAAAAATTTAGACTTGTATTAGAAGTGAAATTTATTTTTAGCTTCATTTATATTTAAAATTTGAAAAAATTTGACTAAAATTTTAGGCCAATTCTATTTTGACTCAGGTCAAAGTGACCTGTCACATGATTTTTGTATTACTATAGTACAAATCACCTTATTGTTAAATATATCACATAAGTTACGTGACTGCTGTCATTTGTTAGCCAATCAAAATCACTGCATTTCTAGGTTCAAGTAGATTTAACTTGAACCTGATTTAGATTAAGTATACTGGATCTGGTTCAACTTAAATCCGATTCAAATCAAGTATCATATATCGTTTAGGTCAAGTGAAATTATTTCAATTTAGATTCAAATTTGGAGTCCTTAAGGTGGAGTAGATCAGTATTTTATTAATATTAGAGTTAGGCTCTTTTGTGTTAGGGTTAGAATTATTAATATAGGTAAAATTTTCCTCCTGACATTTTTTATTAATGTACTAGAGTAGTTTTCAACAGCTGTTTCTTGTATTTTTCACATTTTTTTCTTTTTTTTATTTGTTTTTCTTCGTTAGTTTATCTGGGTTTATCAAATTTTAGTGATTTTATTAGTTAATTATCGCAAAATTCACTCCACTTTAAAGAACTTCTAAATTTGAATAAGATTAGCAAATCTGCATGTAGTAATTGTATTTATGATATAATCATTACTAAATGCAATACTGCTTTTTAATCAAACAATTGATATGAACATGTGATCACAGAAGTATAGAAACCCAGTTGGTGTTGCAATACTTGTAAATAAAATGATCTGAAAAAATCAGATGTATTTTTTTATTTTTCTACTCTACAACGCTTTTTTTATACAATATGAACTTCAAACATTCTCATAAAAATACCTACCTTGATAATGATATTGAAACAGGCCCTGATATTGATATTAGCGATGATAAAAATTTACTTAATATTCTTTATAATAGCTATGAGTCATATAACAATAATATAACATCACAAAGGCAAGTAACTATTTTTTTTTTTTTTTTCCTTAGGCAATCTTGCCTTTCATTTATTAAGAGAAAATATAAAATATGTTACAGCAAAATTATAAACTAACTAAAACTAGTTATAAAACTGCCCTCTTGACTTAAATCCAGACTC